TTTTTTTTTTTTTTTTCAGTTTATTTATTTTGAGAGAGAGAGAGAGAGAATAAGCAGGGGAGGGGCAGAGAGAGAGAGAGAGAGAAAATCCCACACAGGCTCCACACTGCCAGCACAGAGCCGAATGCAGGGCTCGAACTCACAAACCATGAGATCATGACCTGAGCGGAAATCAAGAGTCAGACGTTTAACCGCTTAACTGACTGAGCCACTCAGGGGCCCCTGGGCATTTCCATTTTAAATGAACAAACTTCTAAAAATATCTCCCTCCCTCAAATTCAGAATGGTCTCTATTCAGCTCAGCTATAACCACAACCAAGCTAGACAAGTATCCTTCCCTAAGGAGAGGGGTGAACGAGAGGACCCCTCGCGTGGGTCCAGAATTCCTCAACAGCAGCCCTATTAACACTTCAGTTTGGATAATCCTTTGTTTGGGCTCTGTCCCTGAAATGTAGGATGTTAAGTAGCAACCAGTCCTCTCCCCTCTGGATGCCAATAGCACTGTCCCAGTTGCAAAAGCCAAAAATGTCACCCAACGTTGCCATATGTTCTCTGGTGGAGGAGGGGAGATTGCCCCCAATGAAAATCACGCCTTACTGCCATCTAGAACCATCACTTCCTGCCCCTGTCTTCTCCAGAAGTTGATGTCACCATGGATTCCAAGGCTATCAGATTGTTCCCACGTTACCTCCATCAGTTTCCTAGGAGAACCAACTAGACTTCAGTCTTCAACCTTCAGCCTGTGCCAATGGCACTGGAGGTATTGGTGGTGGTTAGTTTGATTTTAGGCACAAGAGAGATGTGTACTGTGCAGTCTGAATCCCAGAAAGGCTAGTGAGGGACATAGATAAAATAGTGAAGAAGTGTTTTCAGAACTCAAGTGGGTTTTTCTCAGGCTTCCCAAGTTTGTTGTAGGTGTCTACATTTCTGGCCTTGGAGGTGGAGGGAGAATCCACATGGGTGAAACTGTTGAGAAGAAGGGAAGGGGCCGCCCAAATCCCAATAGACGAGACCTTTGATGGTTGGCTAACCAACACCCACCCAGCTCTGGGCAAAACAGAGAAGTCACATAGAGATTTTCCTACAAATTACCCAGAACTTTCTATGCAAATCCGGATCAGCAGTCTGGATTATCCAGAGGCAGATTCTTGTGGAGGAAACAATCCCCTGGTTTCTTTAACTGAGACTTTTGTGGCTGTATTACCATCACTGTTGATACTTGCTCGGGCCCATAGCCTACATCCCAGAAGGAACAAGAATGAAATAACCTGAAATCTAAAAACCCATCTTGGTTTCCTTAACATCAAGGAATGTGTGAACCAGTGGGTCAAGAAGCTCTTAGAACAGGAAGGTGCTGTTTTGAGCATTCTTTCCAGGTGGGGGTTGGGGAGGGAGGAGGCAGAGAGGGGTGGATGGGGATGGGAGTGGGGTGAGGGATAGTAGTTGGGTCCCCGTGTCACCTCAGGAGGATGTATCATTCTGCAGCCAAGGAGGAAACGTGCAACAAAGCAGAGAGAGCAAAAGAAATGCTTGACCACTGACCAATGGCCCCAAATCCCAGTTTAGGGCATACAAGTCAGCATTGTTCAACAATCTCTGAGAGCTTCCCCGTGAGCAAACAAGCATGCCTCAGAGGACAGGAGAAGAATGGACAGCACAGCACAGATTGGCTCCTTACTCAAAGAATAAAAAAGTCTAGTCAAGGGCAAGAAACCCAACCCAAGCCCAGAGACTTAAGAGCACCTGAAAAATCACCATAGAATTTCACAAAGAAATTCTGTGAAAGCTGAAGCCAAGAAGGAAAAGAAGGAGCACTTGGGAGCAGGCAAAGTTCCCTGGAAGTGTTTTCAGGCTAGATTAGAAATGATCAGGGCTGGGCGGAGACTATCCAGCCAAGCGTGGAGTTAACTCCTTCAGTCTCAGGGCTTGGCACCAAGTTCACCTGCCTAGTCATTCCTCTGGGACAATGACATCTCCAAGAAATAGCCCTCTCTGTGGTGCCATTCTTCCTGAGCCAGACTAACCCCTGGCTACTCTCTCTTTAAGAAGCTGTATGGGGGCGCCTGGGTGGCTCAGTCGGTTGGGCGGCCGACTTCAGCCAGGTCACGATCTCACGGTCCGTGAGTTCGAGCCCCGCGTCGGGCTCTGGGCTGATGGCTCAGAGCCTGGAGCCTGCTTCCGATTCTGTGTCTCCCTCTCTCTCTGCCCCTCCCCCGTTCATGCTCTGTCTCTCTCTGTCTCAAAAATAAATAAAAAAAAAAAAAACGTTAATAAGAAGCTGTATGGATCCTCCCTGCCACCTGAAGGCTACTTAGGTAAGGGAGGTCTCCTATAAATGCCCACAGGATGCACAGGGGCCAGTGGGCATAGACCAGAATCCAGGGAGGAGCAGCAAAGGAAAGAGGCCACTGGCTGAATGTGAACTCTGAGACCAGTGGACAGTGTCCCAAAGAAGTCTGGCCCTGTTGTGGCTTTCCTTTGGAGCCCATTTAGAAACCCCTTGACATCTCAGGGACAGGCTTCCAAGTTTCTGGAAAACTTAGACCAGGCTGTGCTGCCTAGCTGACTGTTCCCTTCTCCCTAACTCTAGATGCTGGAGCTCAGCCTGGTCCCTCTTCTCTTTCCTCCCCCTGGGAGAGCTCATCGGTTCCCATGGCTCTAGAAACTCCCCTAACTGTCCTTATGCAGACAACATCCAAATGTGAGTCTCTGGTCTTAACAGGTGTCCCTTCTGAATCTACATTCACTGCTCCAACTGTAGGCCAGATGTCTACTTCATGAGCAGCTCAAACTTGTCTAAAGTGGAGCTCCTGAAGGGCCTCGTCTGACCCATCCCACCGCTCCACCCCTCCCTTCCACTGCCCTCCCCTCCCCACCCATCTGCTCCCACCCAGCCACCCAGCTGCTCCCACTGGGTGGGAGGAAACCAGGAAGCACAGCCACACCTTCCCTCTCCTTTACCCCCACATCCAGCCTGCTCACAAGCCCTGCCTTTCTCCAGCTCGGCCCCTGGGTTCTCGTCTTCATGCACTTATTACAGCTTGAAGTTATTTTATTTGTTCGCTTACTGTGTTGATGTGCTCCCTTACCACAATGAGAGCAGGGCTCACGGCTGTATCTCCAACATTTAGTCCAGTGCCCGAGTGTTAATGAATATTGGCTGAAGGAAGGAATTCATTAATAATGACTTCATCCAAGGGGAAGCAGCTGTCCTGTCACTGGCCTGGCACCTTCCCACCGGGCCAACCCTCTGAGCTGGGGCAGGCATTGGGTCTCCCCACCTAGCTTGGTCCACAGAGGGATGCCAGCCAGAAAAGACACCTTCCTGCCCAAAGGTGAAGCAATAGCTACCAAACCCCACCTCCTCCAAACAGCCTTCCTGGGAGCTCAGATAGAACTGGCATTGGATTGCTCTGCTAAGTGTGAACATGCGATTTCCATATGAATCCTCAAGCCCCAGTTTCTGGTTTTCTTTGTTTAATTGTCATTTCCCTTCTCTGAAAGAAATTCAGCTTTGGCCTGAGTTGGATATATTGCTTCCCTGGCCTGGCTTGGCTAAATGTTTCTACTCCATTGCCTGTGTGTTCTCTGGGTACCCAGGCAGCTGGCCATGCCAGAAGGACAGCCACTGTAGTCTCAGAGACAGTGTGGGCCAGTGGAAGGAGCTCGAGACTCAGGATACCCGGCTGTACTCCCGGCTCAGACCCTCAGACGCTCTATGACCTTAAGCAAGCCTCTCCACCTCTCTGAGCCTCAGTCTCCTCCTTTGCAAATGAAGCTCCTGGACTCCTTGTGCCTGAGTTTCTTCCAGCCATGACCTTCCAGACAGCACTGCCATGGCCAGCTAACACTTTATCAGGGCTTCCTGGTGCTGGAAGTTTCCATGGCTGGCGCACCACCTGAGGACCCAGAGTGCATGCAGACAGGTGCAGGACATTTTCTGAGGGGTCAGTAGTCGTCTACCCAGAAGGGAGGCCTCTGTGGGAAATGCCCAGTTGAAGACAGCTAACAGGTATTCTTTGCTACAAAACTTCTCAGAAACTCTAATACGTACTCCCAGGAGGAAAGATGTAATGGACACAGAACCCTTTTTTTTTTTTTTTTCTTGCAGAGCTCTGTCAGCAGACTGGCGTTGTTTGGGCCCGACTTCGAGATAGGTGACTCTCAAGAAATCCCTGCAGCCCTGGAGTTCTAGCAGCTCACACTTTCCCAAGTGCACCTTGATAAGGAGAAAGCTTTCAGGATGTCAGCTGGAGTAGGGACCAGGGCCAAGGAAAGAAACCCTCTGTCCTCAAACCCCTCAGCCACTCAAGGTCCTCTTAGGTTCCCCCAAATGAGAGAAGGCCAGGAGGGAATCGATGTGTGCATGGTCAGACCTTCCCCTCTAAAAACTGAGGCCACAACGCCTCCTGGAATGTCCTCCCACCAGGCCCCCAGCGCTCAAAGAACAAATGAACCACCAGCTCTTGCCCGTTTTGATACCATACAGTGGACAGGACAGTCGGGAGTAACTGCCTTAGTCGCGGAGGAAGAGCACCCAGGCTGTTCTGTGAACAGCACAGCCCACTGGCACGGAGCAAGAGGAGTCAGTCCAATGGGGAGAAAGGCGGCCAGGGAGGCCCCGAGGCCTGATGTGAAACACAATGCACTTTATTGGCGACAGAACGGTTGGCAGAGGGGTCCCTGTGTTATATACATCAGCAGTGGTGACCATTCCACCAGGGGCGGGGGGGACCCCAAGGGCAGGAGAAGGCGGTGGCTGAGGCCACACGTGGACAATCACAGGCACAGACCGGAGCCCGAGAGGGCGCCTGAAATTCTCACGGCAGCGCTCGGCCAGGAGTCTGGATGGAGGATCCAGTGCCCTGGGTCTTCCAGCCCCCAGAGAGCGGGCCCCGGGAGGGTGGGCTGGGGTCGGGAGTGGGGGGTGGCACTGAGGATGTCGCTGACATGGGCGGGGAGCAGGGGCTGGGGGCGCGAGGCGCTGCGGCGCGCGGTGTTTATCTGGAGAAGCGCTGCGAAGACTGCGAGAACTTGACGCTGCCGCCCCGGCTGCTGCCCGAGCTGAAACCTCCGCCACTGACTCCGCAGCGAGCTCCGGAGCCGAAGCCGCCGCTGCCGCCTCCGAAGCCGAAGCCGCTGCCGCCGATGCCGCTGCCGCCGCCGAAGCCGAAACCGCTGCCGCCGATGCCGCTGCCGCTGCCGCTGCCGCCGCCGAAGCTGAAGCCGCTGCCGCTGCCGCTGCCGCCGCCTCCGCCGCCTGCCCGGCCGAAGCCGCCGCCGAAGCCGCCGCCGTAACCACCTGCAGCGCCGCCGCCGCTGACCACCGCTGCCGGGGAGAGGACAGAACCACGATCAGCGCCCCTCGCCCTCCTAGCTGTATCATAATGATCCACGGGGCCCGGGATGACGGGGAGGCGACCAAGGCAGCTTTGCACCGGTTGATCATTGTGACACGTTCTAATGGCATAGGGTGCTCATCCCATAGTGCTAAGTGGTTATGAATTCTCCCAATAGTTCCTTCTACTCGTGGTCAACTCTTGATGCCCCGCCCCCCACGCTGGAGAAGATCCAGAATTTCTCCTCCCATGAATAGGCTCCCTACTGCATACTCCCCATCCCATAGACATCTATTAATAGTGCCCTGAACCCAAAATAATTACAGACGCAGGTCTCATGCCCCTTCTGCCCACGGAAAACCTCTCCAACTTCCATAGAAATTTTTTTTTTTTTTTTTTAATAAATAAGGCGCTACTGCCCGTGTGATTGCAGGTATTTCAGATTCGGTTCTCATGGTCATGGTTATTCTGGCTACTTACAGATGCTCACAGCGCTCTGGCACTCTCCAGACATCCTACAGGACAAAGCCAGAGAAATAGCTCTGTCACAAAGCAAATAACCAGCAATTTTTCATGGATGAAGGTGATGAATTGCAACCTGAACTGAATTCAGAAGCCAAGCAGAGCAGTACCCTAGCCTTGTCCACAGAGGGATGCCAGCCAGAAAAGGCACCTGCCTCCCTGCCCAAAGATTCTGTTTCATTCAGAACCCCTGTGCGCCCTTGGTCGTGAGTGCACTTTGGCCATCTATGGAGAGAGTGGGCGGGTGAAGGCCTCTTCAGGGCCTACTGACAATGATGGGTCCTCTCTCTATACAAAAGGCCTCCGTTCCCATTCACTTAGTCACTCATCTGACCCTCAGCATGTGTGCCAGGTCAGGAAAGGTAGGGAGAGTGAATTGGAAGCCCCACCTGCACTCCTCGCCCTCCAGCAGCTTGCGGTAGGTGGCGATCTCCACGTCCAGGGCCAGCTTCACGTTCATCAGCTCCTGGTAGTCCTTCAGCAGCCGGGCCAGGTCATCTTTGGCCTGCTGCAGGGCGGCCTGTAGCTCTTGGAGCTTGGCATTGGCATCCTTGAGGGCCAGCTCCCCACGCTGCTCAGCTTCGGTGATGGCCACCTGCAGGTTGGCGTTCTGGGGGATGGGGGCAGGGGGGGAGGCAGGGGAAGAGATGAGCCTAGCAGGAGGGTCCCAGGCTCTCTGAGTCTTACCATGGCTTACCCCATAGCAAGCATCTGAAAGCCAGGCAACATCCCCCTCTCCCCAATACCTCTATCTTTTCCTCATCTATGGAGATATTTTCCCCATGGATTACCAGCCATCTGGACTGGCTCAGTCTTTGAACTTGCCGGAGGTCAATGCTGCCTGAGATGACCCCAGCAGTCCATTCCAGACTAGGAGTCCTGAGATCCCAGCCCCACTCCCCACTGGTCCATCCAGGCGCCTATATGCATTGCCCTCCCACCTGCTTCTTAACGTTCTCAATCTCGGCCCGCAGCCTCTGGATCATTCTGTTGAGCTCAGAAATCTCACTCTTGGTGTTCTTCAGGTCATCTCCATGCCTGCCGGCTGTGGTCTGCAGCTCCCCAAGCTGGAGAACAGAAGGGAAGATCGGGTGTTAACGCGGCTTTGCCTGACTTGTTTCTCTATCCCTAACATCACCCACCCAACCTTGAGGTGCTTAGTAAGCATTTGTTAAAATGACATTGAATCTTATTTCAGCAGGGACACTTCTGTGGCAGCAGGGAAGAGAATATCTGGGTCACCATGGTAGGAATTCCCCTACCCTGCAGTCTCTGAACAAGCTAGAACCAGTTCCATGTGGCCTGGCAAGGGACAGTGGAATCACCTTCCTCCAGGGATAGCCAAGCAGCCATTAGAAGGATGTGTCCAGAGGGTAGAAGCGAGAGGGGTCCACCCAGTGACCACCAGGGACCCACCACCCAGCAGTCCCCACAGGCCACAGCCTCCCTGAGACCCTCAAGGGATCCTCTGAGAGGTGCCTAGCTCCCACCTTCGTCTGGTACAGGGCCTCGGCCTCCGCCTTGCTCCTCTGGGCGATGTCCTCATACTGGGCCTTGACCTCAGCGATGATGCTGTCCAGGTCCAGGCTGCGGTTGTTGTCCATGGACAGGACCACGGAGGTGTCGCTGACGTGGCTCTGCATCTGGGACAGCTCCTACCAACACAGAGGGGCCTGTTACTTCTCAAGCAGAGTCTTGCAGAGAGACTCCTGAACAATAGACCCATTCTCCAGCTCAGTTCTGAATGTGCATCTGCCCCACCCTGCCCCCCCCAGCCCCTCAGAGAACCCGTGTCTATTGTCCATCCTGTGGAACCCCAACAAGGGGCCAGCCCTATCTCTAGGCTCAGTCTTCCTGGGCCCTAGATACCAAAGCAGCCCAGCCTCTGAGAATATCTCACCCTCCCTGGCTCCCCTCTTAGTAGGAAACGTCACCATGTCATAGAGGGTCGTCAGGAAGTTGATTTCATCCATTAAGGCATCTACTTTGGCCTGAAGCTCCACCTTGTTCATGTAGGCAGTATCCACATCCTGAGAAAGACAGAAGCATTAAGGCCTCGTTCCCCACAAGGAACAAACAACAAACTGCACGTGTCACAGGAAAGGGTCAGGACAGGCTGGTGATTGACCGGCCCTTGTCCAAGACTGGTCTCCACGTGAAGGAGTGACTCGTGTCTCACTGGGATGGTTACTCAAAAATGAAAAACCAATGAACTGACTCTTGGGGATCTTTCCAGACTACGATGCACCTGGCTTCTGTTTTTTTGCTCCAACTGCCTGAACTCGGCAGCTCTGTGGCAGTGGAGTAGGAAGGTTCCTCCAGCTCAGCTGGAAACCCGTGCGTGTCCACAAGCCCCGGGAACCCCACACACAGCCTTACCTTCTTCAGGGTCACAAATTCATTCTCAGCAGCGGTACGTTTATTGATTTCATCCTCATATCTGTAAGGGTTAAAAAGAAATAGCTGAGTTTGGGTTTCGAGGTAGTCATAAACACTTTTGTCTGAAACTCTGAAAGTTCATCTCTCCATCCCTCTGTCCCTCTGCTGCCTCTCTTAGCTGAACACACCCTCTTCACTCGCCCCTTATTAGCTAGGAGGACCAGCCACTCCAGTCTGTCCAAGCACACTGGCCTGGTTTTAGCACTGGAAGTCCCACCTCCTGGGAAAACCCCTCGGTCCCAGGGAAACCAGACCGTCGGTCAGCATGCCCTGAGTTGTCCCGGCAATCTTCAGATCCTAGAACCCGAATCTTCCCCAGCCGGGATCATGAGGAAGTGCTTCCTCAGCCCTAAACTCATCCCACTTGCCATGACTTTACTCGTCCTTGGGGAAGGAGGGCGAGTGGGGAGCCCAGCGAATCGAGCTGCCGTCTGCGAAGGTCAGGAGAGGAAGATGAACTCATTGGCACCACTGCCAGCGGGTGGGAGGAAAGCAGTAAGGGCCGGGGCTCCGACACAGGGCTGCCCCACTCGTGTCCCTGTCACTCACTTCTTCTTGAAGTCCTCCACCAGGTCCTGCATATTCCTCAGCTCCGAGTCCAGGCGGCCCCTCTCCCCCAGGATGCTGTCCAGGTAGCTCCGCTGGTTGTTGATGTAGGTCTCAAAAAGGGGCTCCAGGTTGCTGGTGCCCGTGATGGAATTTGTGCCCTGCTGCTGGAGCAGGTTCCACTTGGTCTCCAGGACCTTGTTCTGCTGCTCCAGGAACCGCACCTGCCGCGCGTCGGGGGGGAAGCCGCATCAGGCAACACTTGTGGCAGAGGAGCGGAGGGGCCCCGGCTCAGGTGGGACTGAGCCTCTGAATCCCCCCATCCCCCGGCACAGAGGCCCAGAAGGGATGCGAAGCTAGGCCTCTGCTGTAGCTGGAGAGGCTACGGGCAGACGGCCGCTCAGGTCGGGCCGCTAAAGATCCAGCACCACTTTGGAAAGTTACAGAAGGAGGAGAAATGGGTGGGGAATCTGGAAGTAGCCCCTGTCCAGAAGCAGAATGGCAAAGATGACCCTCGGTGTTCCCCGGGGACTTCGTGACTCTATCTCAAGGTCCAAAATGACAGTACACTCTGCAGAAATGTGCTTGAGCCTCAGCGGCATTCTTCCTACCTAAAGCCTTGCTGACGCTCAGCCCTTCAAAGGATGTGAATCACTGGGAGCTGATACTGATTGAAATGCCGCAATCAGCACCACAGGAGAGAGCCCACAGCTGTGAGCTACCCTGGTCTGGGGGACACCAAGCACCCTTCTCCTTCTGACCTGGTCAGTTCGGGGTGCAGACTGGTTGCTAGCTCCTCTGCAACCCTGTTGAGACTAAAGTTTCCAGGTAAGCCCCTCTAATGCCTTCTCCAGGGCATGTGTCTCCTTTGCCCGGCACAGCAGCGTGGAGGGAACAGGCCTCCTGGGAAGCCTCCTGTCTGATAAACGCCCACTCCTGGGTCAGACCCTTTCCTGCCAGTAGCCATGGCTCTTTCCATGTGTTCCCAATGCTGCCAGCCTGGGCATAGATAAGGCAACAGGCGGGAGACTTGAGCAGGGAGCCAGACAGGTAGGACTTAGGATGTCCAGGTCCAAAGAGGAGCCCATTGTCTTTCCTACTCAGGTGACCACGTCGGCAAATTCATCAGCCCCGAACATCTTCCCAGATCCTAGACTCTTCCTAACCATCCCCCTCCAGCCTGGCTCATCCAAGATTGATCCTAAATGTTAAACTCAAAGTCCCAGCCTGGAAATGGGGGCCCGGTCTGAGTCTCATCACCTTGTCGATGAAGGAGGCGAACTTGTTGTTGAGGGTCTTGATCTGCTCGCGCTCCTGGGTCTTTACTTGCCCAATCTGGGGGTCGATCTCCACATTGAGGGGCTGC